CGGAAGCGCTGAACGCCTTTACTGGGGAGTAAGTGTGCCGCCAAATTGATAAGGAACCAGGAATGTCATATACATACTCAGACCGCTGCTGCTGCATGCAGCGTGTGCTGGGTGCTTCATATGATACTTGCTACATTCCAAGCGTCAAATCAACTAGCTAACCGTGGATCGCGATCATTCTAGCATGATCATCAACATCGGCAAAGTCTTCAACCAGCTGGCCACCGACTCGGACTGCCGTGTGATCATTCTCACCGGCGCTGGCGACAAGGCCTTCACGGCGGGACTCGATATCAAGCAGACTTCCCTGTCCGGCTCGCCTGGGCAGAAGGACCCGGCCCGGAAAATGATCGCCGACATGCGGCCAATGCTCATGGCATTCCAGAACGCTGTCACCCAGGCTGAGAAATGCATCAAACGTATGTTCAAGCGTTTCCTCTTGTAACCTTTCCTCTTGGAGAACCGAAGCCCTTGCGTGGTACCTCAAATTCCTCATCACACATGTGCCCTGATCGCTAACGGTGGAATGCTCGGTTTCTGTAAACAGCTATCATCAGCGTCATGCACGGATACTCCTTCGGCATGGCGATAGACCTCACAACCGCTACTGACATCCGGATCTGCACTTCTGATGTTAAGCTTTCGGTTAAGGAAGTGGATATTGGCCTAGCCGCCGACGTTGGATCGTTATCTCGCTTGGTGAAAGTTGTTGGATCGATGTCCTGGGTCAAGGACATCTGCTGCAGCGCAAGGATATTCGGAGCTGAGGAGGCTTTGCGGCAAGGGCTCGTTAGCGCTGTCTACAAGGATAAGAAGGAGGCCATGGCTGGTGCCATGAAGTTGGCCGAGCTGATTGCATCCAAGAGTCGTACGTGTTCTCATCGTTACAAACAAACCATGCTAATCTGTAACTGCTTGTGCTGACAAGTTGGTGTCTACAGCGGTTGCTGTTCAATCTACCAAGGAGATCCTCAACTTCTCGGTTGACCACTCTGTTGAAGATAGTAGGCCCTCCCACCCGGATGCAATTATCAAGAAGTGGCGAAATATTCTAACTCGACCTTGTGTATAGGCCTGCGATATACCGCTGCTTGGAATCCCGGTGCGCTCCAGACCGCTGACATTCCAGAGGCGATCAAGGCCAGCCTGACCAAGACGAAACCACGATTCGCAAAACTTTGATTACTTTTATCCAGCTAGCCTGTATGACCTCTACGTTCGCGTCATTGAATAGCCCATGTACCATATACATTACTTTTCCATAATTGATACCACATATACATAACCGCATCCCGATTGAACCGTCCATTAACTATACACAGTTGACCCTGCAACTATACTCTTACTCCCTGGTACTGATACTCGCCCTTGCCGACGCCCGTCCCTGCGGCCGCGGCTCCAATTCTGCCAACACCCCATCACCCGCACCATCCTCCTCATGCTGCGGCAGAATCTCATCGCTGCTCATCGACTCCGCCGGCAACTCTGCCAGCCCCGGGTAAATCTGCTCCATCGCGCGTTCTCGAGCATCCGCCGTCACCGGTGACACGTACACGTCGTTCGGATTCTCCTTGACTATCGTAGCGTCACCGTGATAGCTGTAGAAGATGTCGGAAAAGCCTACAATGCACGCACCTCTCGTTAGTTAGTGGATACGGCAGTGCTACTGACACCGGTACTAACGAGCGTAGCGGCATCAGATGGAGGAGGCGGTGGCGGCGCCAGCTGACCGGAGGTAGTATTATTATTGGTGTTATTATTTGCGTCGGCATTGGCATCGAGCGTCCGCAGCTCGTCTCTTCTTCGATCCGTCGGCCGTCGTGGGATGCGCGGCATGGCGCTCGACGGCGTCCGGCGCAGGCTCGCCCAGAATTTGTATCCGGCTTCCGGTGACGGCGGCGCGGAGGGTGCGGCGTCCGGGTCAGTGTTTGACGAGGACCGTGGCGGAGGAACTGTGGAAATGCCGTCGAAGACTTGATTGTGGAAGTTTCCAGCCTGCTTCTCCCCGGCGTGCTGCCGTCGTTTACGGTTACGGTGCAGCAGGGCTAGGCCTACGAGGATACCAACGAGGGCGATGGCACCGACGGCACTGCCTGCGATGATGGCGTCGCGGCGGCGAGGGTTGGGTGGTGACGCGGCGCCGGACGTCGGCGTGGCTGAGGGGTTAACGTTTCCGGTGCCGCGGATATTGAACAGCGGGGAGTTGGCGTCAGATGGTGTTTGGAACGGCTTGTTCTCCCAAGTCGAGAAGCCGGAGGCGTTGCCACCGACCTGGCTGAAGATTTCATAGGGCACTTGGTATTCGGACGGGGTTGTAGAGAACTCGGACTGCCATTTCAGCGTCGATACGTTGAAGACTTTGACCGGGTTGGTGTCGCATGAGGGCGAGAAGTCTCTGCCACCGATGAGTAGCATGTTCGTGCCTTGCAGATGGCAGGTATGGTCTTGTATGCCGCCGGGCTGGAGGCTGTCGGACTTGTCGACGAATATCCATTTGAAGGCTGGTATCGAGAGGATCCAAATCCCTCGACTTTGTGTGAATCTCTGGGCTGTATACAATCAAGTACCACTGGTCAGCAAGATATCTATCAAGCATTCCGTTGCGTATTGACAAAATGGCGACTTATAGATGGACTCACCATTATTGTCGTAGGTGATGCCGCCGTAATTGTAGATATTGATGGAACTTTTATCCGACGCGTACGCTGCAACAGCACATACACCACGGGCATTGGCTGGTGCATCACCATCAACAGGTTGAATGTACCATTGCTGCTGCTGAATATCATAGACATAGACATTCTTCAGCGGCAGCCCGACGCCGGTCTTACCGCCACCGCCATAGTTGATCAGATATTTCCGCCCGGCGAGTTCTATCGGGACGAGAGTTCCCTGTCTATAGCCCTTTGATATCGGATCGCCGAAGACTTCGACTCCAGACGTAGCTTCCTTGAATTCTTTCGACGTCATATTGAACATACGCAGTCTGTGTATTGATTATCATAAGCATACGTATATACGCATATATACCCAACAAATTATGTTGTGTACGTACCCAGATAGAAGAGTATATTCTGACGGCTCAGGATAGTCGGGCGTCGTGCGGGCATCCTGCTGTCCTCCACGATAATACCCGACGTCGTCTAGAAATGTCGAGGCGCCAGACGCCGCTCTGGTCACTGTATCCCCACTGGTCGTGACCGCAGACCATTGCTCTTGCACTATATCGTAGCTCCAGATTGCTTGAGGCGCGGTGTCTACGTCTCCGCTAGTGTTCTGGAACTGGCCGCCGTAGAGAAGGATTCTATCCCGCACTTGGTCGTACCAGAGTGTTGCATTCTCTGCGCAGGTTGTCAGTTGAATCCATAGCGGAGATCTTGTGGGTGATTCTTACCGACGTCGGGTGGCCCTCCGGCTGAGGGCATTGGAAGAGCGCGAAAGCTTGGAGCATCGGTGTCAAAGTTCTCGCCAATGTCAAGGGACAAGAATTGCGGAAGAGTCGTCACAGCATTTCTCCGAGTCGCATCTACTAGCCGTCAGTATCCCTTCGACAGGCGTGCCTGGTCCGTTGTGATAGTAGCGACATACTCGTTGCCAACCGGCCTTCACCACCGTAAATGTATATCTTATTCCCCGCCAGGACACCTAAACACGTATATCTGTTAGAACTTCAATCTCTCCAAGCCGACATCGCGTACAAGACTTACTCGCGTGAGACCAAATTCTGCATACCGTCAAATTAGCTGTTGCCTCCGCTCGAGGCACAATCCCAACCGTAGAGGCAACGGCAAAGCCCGCGAATAAAGCGAGCGAAAGGCATTCAAATATCTTCATGATGCAATATATACCGAAGAGTCGACAATCATACGCAACGAGTCGCTCATGCTGGAGCGGAATAGAAAAAATTTGCAAAGGGCTTGACCACAAAGTCTCAGCTGGACTCACGTACATATCCGTAAATTTGCATGCGGGTTTCTGTTATATATCAAATGCGACGCTGCAGTGTGATCAAAGGATCGATCGTGTAGCGCGTGCCGTGTACGCACTAGCCACCATGTTGCTGGTTCTTGGGATGCCAACGGTAGCTGTGTTAATTGCAAACCCGGCCGAGAAAACCCCTTATCGTGATGTTTTTCCTTTGCAATTATGCAGTGTTCGCTTTGTTGGTTTCAAGGACATCGACGAATGTTGTCTAAGTGGTGTCTTTATCACACTGAGTGTTGTGTCTTTGAACCGCCACTCCATGTTAGTCATGTATTCGGCCTAGGTTAACACCAAGCCCTCGGGGGGTCAGCGTCCCCGAGACTAAGGTTAACAGTCTATTCGGTACCGAAGAAGGGGTACGAGTCGTACCTGGTAATGGAACTGTGTATCTATGTACATCTGGCCACTTGGTTCGCTCTAGGGCTACCAACATGTGGCTAGATGTTTGTTGCATTTGTGGTATAACAATTACCGTGAAAGGGACGAGCGAATGGGTGTATGTCATGTCAGTTGCAAATGTTGGTGGCGAAATGTGACACTCCAGGGTACCATGCAGCATTAGTTAGTCTGGTGATTTGTCTACTTCCAGCGCTAAGTAAGTCAGTACCGGGATATCCTTTTGAGGCTCGAAACTCCATCCCGGTTTGATATATATTATTGTTGATACGTACCCGCATGTGAGAAAACGTATCTACAGAGCATGTGGCTTGAGCGCAGGCTGCAAGATCATAACTATATTACCGACGTGCTCCGTCAGATCTCTAGATCAACATTGAAATTCATTAGTAGCATTGGCTGTCCAAAAGTGCAATACCGCGCCAAAGGTCTGAATCCGATCGTACTGCGGCCTCGATTCTAATTGATTATTAATTTGGAGAAGCTAATGGAGTGCGTACATCTGATCTGCAACGAGAGTTGTTGTTGCAAAACAATGGCAGCACGGGGAAACACCAAAAACATGCAAAAAAAAAACTGCAAAAAAGTACAGTCGTCGGTAGACGTTCTTTGGCCTAAGATAGTCCAAACGGGATTCGAACCCGCGACCTTCGCATTTCTTCCATATGAAGCTAGAATCACCTAGATTCTCCATATAAGAACGACACTCTACCACTGAGTTATAGGACTTATTAACCCACCTCCGGAGCTATTGCACATTATAAGCCCCACCGCATATCCGACCAATTAGATTAGCCGGTCGGCTCCCACGACCCGGGCCGAGGATCAATGTCACAACCTGGCCCTCGGTAGCCACAGAACTTGCTTTTCCTGACGGTACACACTGACAGACTTGAATGGTAGTGGCGTTCTACTTCGAAGCTTCGCCTGTTCACGATTTGCCCGCAGGGTGCGAGTTACACATGTTACTGGCGCAGCGGGTCCAACAACCCGCAAGATACCACATCATGCAGTTTTTCATATTCTCATAGTCTCGGGGCCAGTCCGATATTCTCATAAAGATCCATACGTATACTAATGTTAAAGATACATTGAAACTGAGAAAAGACCTGGCCATTCGACCGAGTTCTATTTGCGCTTTCGTGTCCATCCGTCTTGAAACAGCAGCAGTCTGCCCTTTTGCTCTTCAAAATGGTTGAGTCGGTCCAGACTCGTGCCTAAGCGCCCTTTAGGTGCTGACTAGATCATCACCCCTGTACCTCAATACAATTAGCCCAATTTTTCGAATCGGATAGCGGTAGCTAAAAATTCAGGAAAATACTATCTTACTTGTAAACTTCGAGACTCGGCGCATGGGCCTCGTGGGCTCGCTTTTCCTTAGCAATACTTGGCCTGCAAGAGTATAAGTCTCAGCTCAGCGATATATAGCCTCCTCAAGTTTCCTGAAGCTTCTGTCCTATGTATCACATTGAGAGACCAGCGGCTTACTCGTGAAGGGTTCCAGGCTTAGAATTGATAGCTCCACGGCCATCATGAGATCGCTTGCCAACGTCAACGTGATTTGCACTGTGATACCAAGGAAGCATTAACGAGTCAGTATATGCGTGGACACTAGTGGCTGTAGTGCCGTCGCCTGAGGCCTAGCTTGTTGATTAACTAGCAGGGTGGACTAGTTACCTGTACAGATCGGCGTTGACTGCATTGACCCATTATTTTGAATTAGCACGCATTCGAAATTGATGACTGATTTCAACAATCCAATGGCAATTAATTTATATATAGCTTACAGGATCTCTCGTGGTCTCGCTTCTCAACTGGAATCGCTGCGGCGAGTGCCAGAGGAGCCATCAAGGCAAAGACAAGAATTGATTTAGAGAAGAGCATGTCGATAGCGCTATAGCTGTAAAATGAATTTGATATTCTGGGAGATATCTGAATACGGTAGTTGAGGTATATTGAGTGTCTCTGGAGAACAGGCCAGTGCTTGTGGATGCTTCAAAATGCTGCCTGATGTGAGTCCATCAGGTGGAATCGGCTTCGCTTTATACTTTTCTCCATCCTCGAGTGATCGTATCGATGTCTCGACTTCCACTGGCATTCCGTAGCCTATAATTTCAATTGGGTGATGGCCAATCTGATCGAAGAGGCGGCTGTCGGCGGCCCCAGATTATACTCGACATATGAGACTGGCTTGGTCAATATCTCGCGGTGTAAGCGCTCCGTTCTATCTAACGTGAAGCTGCACCTTCCATAACGGTAAATGTAGAATTTCGTGATAACCTGTGAAGAGTTCGCGATAGCAAGAGAAGTGGAGAATCGAGCTTCGAGCGCCAAAAATCGCCGTGTTCTGTCCCGCCACATTGATGCCAGAAGTTCCTACCAATCTGAACGATCTAGGCTACTGAAATGCAATCTGTGAGACGAAGTTGACAAATAGTTTGCGACTCGTGCAGCTCGTTCGACGCAAGCGCCCGAGGCAAATTCGTGAACAGGAGTAGCATTTCAGACAGCGGCATCTCGGTCGAGATATCAGGCTGGTGAGCGCGGGGCCGAGGCGACAATGCTATATGAAGAAGTTTACCTCGAGAGCAGATATCAGACTCATTGAGATGTCGTGATCATACGCTCTCATGACGCCGTTCAAACGCCATCGGTGTTGCCGACGTTGCAGTTTCTGGATTGGTCAATTCGCATGTTGGTACACCGTAGTACATATTGAGAGAGACAGGTTGCGCAAATCTCGTGCGCATATGTCTGAAACATGCGAAATTCGAAAAGTTTATACTGAAAAAATTGATCTTGAAATTTCCCGAACGAGTAGATCTAGAATGTTTTTTGTCGACAAAGACTGGCCAATAAGCCAATGTATATCTTGCTGGTTTGGAATTTAGGTCGCTGTCGCCACCCCTGGATTGTAACTCGCTTGAACAATGATACTTTCCAAAGATCCGAGGATATTTTGGCTGAAGATATTGTCGCAAGGGGCCACAACTTAACCCGAAATCTGCACATATGTACATGTAACGTATGGTCACAAAATCCGATAAGGCTGACAAATGACTTGCATTTCACAATACACAACATCCTTTCCCAGCTTCCTCATATCCCATATCGCGCGATATATATCTCGACTTGTGATCATGCGGAGATGACAAATATTTTTTTGAAGACACACACGTACACAGGTCGCCATATCTCAGGCGGTTCTGTAGGCGCCTGGATATTCAACTATAGCTTGTGCAACAGATTCATGTACCAAATGCACGTTGCCACTGAGCGCTGTATCCATCAAAGTTTCGTAGGTAGCACAGATGATCTGATTAGCCAATTCATGGTATACGGCAAGGAGGCGAATTTGTAAGACGCTATTGCTCTAATGTGTGGTCCTGACACCATATGAACATGTTGACCTAACAGGCGTTACGTACAGGATCGATCGACAGGGGAGAGAAATCGAACGTCAATGTTCATACATTAAAAAACTGTGTACGTAAGTGCAATTCAACGGAGGTTGTAGTATGTACATCTGCAATGCAAAGTATATTTTGCGATTGGCTCTTTGCTTCTAGGCTGCTGAAGTGCTATACAGTGCGGGATTTGTCCTGTATACTACACACACACCCCGCATGTATGTACCTACAGCATACTTAAAGTACACACAAGCACGTTGCCGTGTGATATCCGAGAGGTCAATTAGAGCTATGCAAGATGCTCACTAGCGCCAAAAATCATCGACAAATCTATTGGTAGAATCCTCCATCTACTTGTCGCACACACAATCAATGCATCGAATTCGGGTATCTTATCAGGATACCCGCCGGCAACCCACCCACTCAAAATCCGAGGAATTTTCGAAAATTGGTTCTCTAAACGCAAATACATGTATATGCCGTACCAAGTTTTACGAGATTGCAACCTAAGGTCTAGTACTACTTGCATCTGCATGCGTCGTCGGCTCGACAGTCTACGTTTGCTTATTAGTAACGACTTAGGTAACACTAGCCCGGTCACCGATTGACAGTCGACAGTCTATTCCCGACGCGCGGGCTTTATAACATAACAGCTTCGCCGTTTCTTTTCGAAGCTTTACTTTCTGAGTGCTTTCCCCGCCGTACCCCACTTCACCGACCGTTTGTCTAGTTAGAACCTCCAAGCTTGAAGCTTCACGGAATCATGATTGACACTATGAATATATTCACAACGCAGCACGCTAGAAAATACAACAGTCTTCCCTGCCGGCGCCCGTTCGATCTCGATGTCGATACGGACACTGATAGCGAGAAGACACTGCTAGGCTACAGCCCTGTCGGAAAGGACGACCTTTCAGTCACAGACACAGATTCCACCGTCTCTGAGTGTTCGTCGCTTCGCAAGCCATGGCGGACGCTGAGCCTCCAGACGTGCGTGACGTTGCTGAACATTTCATTATTCATCGGATCCGGGTTTTGCTACTACCAGACCTTCTATGCGACCCACGGGCCGAACGATGAGCTAAGAGCGGTTTCTTACTACTGTAAGTCACGAGCAGATACCATGGTCAGGTAATAAGCGGTGGGCACAATGTGTAAATACACGCAAAAACGGGACGAGCTCGCCTCAATTGTATGAACGGCCGCGAATCCCCAGTCCTGAATCAATGGTGAATGTGCTAATAAGGTCACCAGCACCCCTTCTCGATATAATCGACGTACCGATTAGAACCGAACAAATAAACGGCTCGCTCTTTCCTGGCCCAAATCCATCAATATACCGTCTGCCGCCGTCCCCCGAAGTCGACGCCGCCTGGGAAGCCGTCGCCGAAGTCATCTCCTTCCCGATCACATCCGACGCCGTCCGCAAGCTCGGCAAAGACCCTTCCATGGCAGTTCGACTCCCCGAATCCCTCGGTTTTCCGCCAGATATGCACATCGCGCTCCTCGATACAGCGCATCACATCCACTGTCTAAACGCACTGCGCAAAGCTGTCTACTCAGACTACTATCGCGACAAGGGCAAGAAGTCGAATACGAACAGACTCCACTGGGTGCATCTTAGCCACTGTGCGGGAGTTTTGCTGCAGAACCTCATGTGTCAGGCGACACTGGATGTTGTCACGCTAAACTGGGTTGAGACGCAGAGGCGGCCATTCCCGGACTTCAGCGTCAATAAGCAGTGTCGAGACTACAGCGTACTGCAGCGCTGGCAGCAGGAGAACAGAATCAGTGAGGAGGTGTTGAATAAGATTGTGAGAGTAATGGAGAAAGAGGGGTATGTGGAGGTACCGTCGCCGGTGCTGAATATGACAGCTGCGTTTGAGGATGCCGCGACACCATGGAATTTTGACTGGACGAGTATGTGATTCACATGATCGTTTTGACGTTCGGCTATGGAGTTCAAGAGGCGGAAGTGCTCTACGTCTGCTGGGGCTGACCATAACGGTCTCCATTCTGTCTTCGAGTTTATTCGATGTATTAATAACATATTATTGTTTAATTACTGAGGTTGATGGGACTCGAGGGGCGGTAATTCAGAGTTATTTGATTCGATCAACTTTTATAACTAGTAAGGAAACGCATAAAGGTCCACAAATCTATCCTAACGGTCATAACAACAGGGACGTAGTATCATAAAAACAGACACGAAGAGAAGATAATAGGAATCAAGGAAATAAAGAACGCCTGTATGTGAAATCGGCAACAGCGACCAATGCGATAAGAAAATGGGTACAGCCATTCGTTGCTGTTCACAAG